TGACAACAAGGAAAACAGCTAGACTTTGTCAATGTTTTTGGAAAACATTAAAATAGAATCGTTTCCTTTCATGTCATTTGTTTCAGTCTGGTTGGACTCTTAGACCAAAAACGTTGTTACTCCTACCGGCTTGCTGACTGACTGCTCAGCGATCTTGATTTGGTTGTCATTTTCTGTTGCCATATAAATCTGGAATACTTATAGGATAGGAGAATTTTGAAGAATTATAGAAGCATTTTGGCGATTCCTTCACTTAGCCTGCTTACATAGAGCTACAAGGTTCACAAAAGGAAAGGTTTTGTCATTCCCCTCCCCTAAAATCCCATTGCTGACATCTCCCCAAAACTCAGGTGCAGATTTTATTGTGAGCTATCAGCTCAGAATAGCACCATGTTTATATTAGTAGAATGTTAGTTTCCTGATACAGATGATGAGAACTAAGCGAGAAGGAGCCTAGCGCCTCTACACTGTCTCCTAACTACCTGGTAAAGGCCATCAGCTTTCCTGCCTCACCTCTAAGACTCTTCCCCATCATGTGGGTTTGAGAAAAGCTAGACCGCTTCCCCCTACTTGTGACAACTTAAATTTCTTAGCATCTCTAGAAAACATGTGTTTTAAAGACTACAATGCAGTTGTGGAGAAAGAATGGCTAAAAAATGAAAACAGGCATGACAGGAGTCATTTCTGGCAAGGCTATTCATTCACTGTATCTGAATGCACACATCCTCCCCAAACCCAGGAGCATATTAAGAACATTCCATTTGGCAGATCCCATAGTGATGTATAAGAGGAGTCCAGCTGAAGCGTTCCCAGCTCCAAACGGTCAGCACAAACTAATTGCACTAAAAACCTGGTGTGACACTTAAGAAATGTTTCCCATTTAAGATGCGTTATAAATATTTGTGCCATTTAAATGTTTTGGGAATTTCGCTCACAGATTGTTCGATTTAGAACAATTAAGCTTGTTTGGCATTGTTGATATGAAACAAAGGAGTGCACATGTTCAAAGGAGCTGGACTGCACGCCTCTTCACCTCCAGCTCAGTGGCAGAACTTCGACTTGGTCCACGGACCTTCACAGGAAGGTGTCTCCACCTCCACTTGGCTGACAGGGACATGCTAGTGTTGTTCCAAGTTTTCAGCAATGTGGGTGGCAACTAAAATAAACCTAAGACTTGAAAGAGATTTGATTGTGCCAAATGGAAATTAGAACCCAGGACAATAAGAATCATGACAATTATTATTGACACTCTACTTCTTTGAATCCATTATACCTAGTTGCTTTAGCTAGGGTATTAATATATGTAAGCAGTATTGTTGCAAATCAGCACAATTTTGCAATGTGCCTAAACCACTAAGTTTCTATTGTTATTATGAGCATACGAAAGCATGATGATTGACATTTATATTTGTTATCTTTTCAAAGCCCACCTATGTTTACTATCTTATTTTGTTTCTCCGAAACCTTGGCAACCTGGTAGGCTGAACATTAGTGTTTCGACTTAATCCATAAGAAAACTACTGCCCAATGTGGTTCATATTACCTCTGTTCAGTGAACTGGGTAGTAACAGGATGCATATTTGAATCCTCAGATCCAAACTGAGTTTGGTATGTTTAGTAGAAACAGTAGTGTATTCTTCTTAGCAGTGCCTCAAAGGGAGTGAGTCCCAATGTTTTACTGGATATCTTTATCCTTCAAGTAATTTTTAATATTCAACTAACATTATCACTGCACAGGCAAAAACAATATATGCAAACACATACGCCATTGCAAAGTTCAGTCCTCTACATGGGGAAAGGAATCTCTTCATATTTTGAATTTTGCCTTTTCACTTTAAACTCCATGGCCACCATGAGTTCTATGGAAACACACAAACAAGGGAAACCAAACAGGAAACCCTCTATTTTTTTTTATTATCAGCAGGAAATTTAGCTCGGGAAGTACAATAAAACCTTGGCCATTCAGAATCCTTAGGGAACAAATCCCTCCAAAAAGCCAAGCTTTGGAAATCCCTGAGGGCAAACTCCCATAAGTCCTGAAACTAGGTTATTTAATGACTCTGAATTGAAATATTCTGAAAATGTACTAGGCATTCCCTGCATGTTAATCTGAGTTGGTTATTTCTTAATTAGTCAAAAACATTTTAACGCTAATCATTTACTTTAATACTACTTAAATGTCCTTAGATTCAACAGAGGAATGTAGAACACTTTGGCAATTAATTAAATCACTCCAGTTTGTGTATGTGTGTGTGTATTTTAATTGTGCTTGCTTTTGGAAGATTTTCTGTCACCTTCTTTGCAATCAACTCTCTTTCATTCTTTAATAAACTCTCTTCCCTTTTAATTTGTAAAATTGAGTGTAGATAACCAAGCCTGTTAAACTGTAACAAAGTAAGAGCCAATGAGCAGTAGGTGAAAACCTGAGGAGTGCTTCTGTTGATCTCTGAAAGATGGATTTACAATAAAATAAAATTAAATTAAAAAAGATGGCTTTACCGCATAGACTTTCTGATATATCAACAAAACAAAACAAAACAACACAAAACAACAGTGAATACACCTCTGTAGTCTGGGTCCAATTCATATTCTTAACTGTGTAGACACAGTCTAAGAGCAAATGGTTCAAATTTAAAAATAATAGTACAATCGACATGCATCTGAATTCAATGATAATTTGGGTCCTTGAGGATGTAGAAGGAAATATGGCCCTATTCAAATTTCCCTTGAAGTCCAGACTATCATAACTTGCTACTTGGAAACTACCAAGTTAAATTTCATCAATTAATGCATTAGTTCAAGAAATAGCCACTAAAAGATAACCAACCATGTGCAGGCACTGTCTTGCGTTCAATATACAGCAAATAGGGCCACACTGACATGCCTATTTCTTACCAAATTTTAATTATTTCACTGTTATGTATTTAATTATTCAATCACGTCAGTATTTATTAAGTGCTCTCTGTTTCCAGGGATTCTGCTAGGTCTTGAGGAATTAATGGTCAGCCCAGACACACATGGTCCCAGCTCCGATGTAGCCCACAGATTCTTGGGGGAGTGAGATAATCAAATAATCAACAAACATGTAAAAACACACTGTGATCACAGCAATGTACAGGAAGACCAGGCCCTGTGTGAACACACAACTGGGGACATTGCGCTTGACTGGTATGTCACCAAAGCTTCTGCAAGGAAGTAACAGTCCAAGGTAACAGTGAATGAGTTAACTGGGTAAAGGAGGGGTGCTGGGCTAGTGGGATGGTCCCGCCCTTGCGTAGGCTGGGGTGGGGGCCCCGAGGAGGTACCGCAGAAGGCCTTATGCTGATGTTCAGAGACTGAGCAAGAGAATGAAGCCATTCTTGAGAGGCTGGTCAGATACTGAAGGGCCTCAGAAACTTCGTAGGTCTTGAGATTTTGTTGTTTAACCTAGAGAATCAAACCCAATGGAAGTAACAATTGGTTTTCAAAGAACTATGTCAGTGTGCGGTAGAGCAGCGTTGTTCCATAAAGAAATCTAAATGGATTTCACATTTTACACCAAATGTGGAAGAATAGCCAAACTTCTTTAAATGCCCTCCATCATCCCTTTAGCATTTAATAGATGTACCAGGGCACTTGGGGAAGAGATTGCAGTCGGTATATGGAAAACTAAACAAAACAGCAAATGAGCTGATGATAAGCTTCAGAAACAATAAAACATTGGATGGAAAAGGAAACATGATCATAGGATACTTCTTGGCTCAGCAGAGGCCACTTCATGTAAATGTGTATAATCAGATAAAAGAGACTGGAAGTGGAGGAGGTGTGTGTGGTAGAAGATAATCAAATCTTTGCATTTATCTTTATAAATAGCTTATGTATATTCAATAGCTTATATGTAATACTGATAAAAATCACTACCAGGAGATTATGTAAGAATATGGATTTAATTTCCAGAAGAAACCAAAAGAGCTCAAAATGATTATCTCAAAGAAATAAGACTATTAAATTTAGAAGGGGACTACTGATTTTGTTCATAAACTTTATAGGACAATGGACATTTCAAGGTATATATGAATACGTAGCTTTCATGCACACTGAAATTAACTTAAAAACACACGTATATGCATGTGCTCAAGTTATTTGAATTTATCTGATCAAAATTTGTGAGCAAAAATGTGGCCTACCATTCAGGCAAAATTTAAAACAAGTTAATCTAAGTCAGCTTGGGAAGAATTGACTGATATTTTCAAAGGTTTTTTTCCTTCTGTATCTCCTTTTTAATAAAGGTTTTGTCTTCCTAGAGCAGTTCAGGAATTGCCAATAGTTCTCTTGTGGTCATTTTTTTGAGGTGTGAGTTTAAATGGAAAATATCTGTCTTGAAATTCTGCCAAGAGACAACAAGTATGGAAAAGAAGCACACGGAGCACCATTCTTCTGAAACAGACACACAATGGCAAGACGTGGTAGACTGAGTTCGGCTTCATGTGTCCCCTGAAAAAGGCACAGAACTACCAGCACCTTCTGAGCTTGGGAAACACATTTTCAGGACCTGAATGACATGACCTCCCTCATACTTCTGAAATTATCAACATCTCTAGCTTATAGATGTTTAAAGATTAGAAAATTAAATGGGAAACAGCAGAGAAATGCTATTAATTATGCCTAATTAGTTTTTTTTTTAAATCTAAGAATGCACAGAGTCATTTGAAAGGCTGTTTAAGATGCTAATTCAAGTGGATGATTCCTCTGGAGTAAAGGGCAGTGATCAAATCCTCCTGATGCTCTACGTTGAAACTTTTTGAGAGAAGCCGTTTTTGACAAAATGCACGATAAGCAGTAACTTTAAAAATCTATTTCTTTCCTAATCATTTAAAAAAGTAATTCTATCAACCAAGATAACCGGAAAATTTTGATAATAAAAAAATCAAGAAATTCCAAACATAAATTGTACTAAATGCCATCAGCATGAAAGTATGTACTTAATTTCATTTTATTCCCTGTCTCTTTCTTTAAGTAGCATAAAATAAATCTCTGGAGTCTGGAAATTTCTATCTCTGTACGAGGAGAGCTGGAGCTGGCAGGGCAGCCACCTGGTAGAGCCCAGAGGAAAGGGCCAGTCCAAGGACAGCAGGGCAGAGAGGGAGAAACTAGGACCCCAGGGACACCGTCTAAGTTGTGAATCCAGCAGAGCTGGAAGGCAGACTCTTCACTGCACATTTCAGTGACACAGACCAGTACACTTCTTCTTTGTTTCAACTAGCTCAGATGAGATTCTTTGTGGTTTACAACACGGTATTGCATGGGCTTTTTAAAATGATTTTTACCCTATCACATAAAATGATTGTCGCTCAACTCTTTGTTACTTTTCCCCATTTAAAAGCTCCTAAATAAATTTCTAAACCACTCAACAAATACAGTAACCTAAATAACATTCAAGGTTCTCATCCGCTTGGCTGATTCCATGTATAAACAATGCATTTTCCTACTAGCTTCAAATTAAAACAGTAGAGCTGGAGGGACTCACCTAGCCCATGTGCTTCATTATCCAGATGGAAAGGCTAAGATTCATGGGGAAGTGACTTGTCTAAACCCCTGCTAATTATTTGCAAAGCTAGGGCTAGAATCCAGGTACTCTGATTTTTTTTTTTTTTTTTTGCTTATTAATCCATAACAAAGAGACCAAGAGACTGCTGGGTCCTCTTTCTATTGCCTTCAGATCAGAGCCTATGGCATAATCTTTTGAATCCCTTCAATCTTAAGAAATCTCTATCCTTTGAAGATGGATTTGATTTTTGGAAACAATCAAAAGTCATTTAGAGCCAAGTGCAGTAAACAAGGTGGGTAATCAAACCAAGTAATTCATGTTTTGGTCCAAAAAGGGTGTAACATTGAAGTAATAAGGCTGATTTTTTTTTCATGTAATTCATAAACCAGCTTTGATGTCATTAAATTAAAATTGAAATTCCTTTGACATTCATTTTGGAGTTATATTACTCACAATTTGACTCCGTCATGTTCCCTGGATTTTAAAGGAGGCCCTGCTAGTATTTCTATATAATTAAAGTAACAGTAATGATATGGAAATTTTTCTTGCTTCAGTAGATGAAACTCAGAGAGAAAATAAATAATGCAATTTAATTTAAGAATAATTTGTTGAGTGCTTATTGTATATCAAGCACTACTGCAGACTTTGATAAAAGGGAAAGAAATACATTTACTCTTAGCTCCCTATTTTAATAATGAGAAATTGAGGCTCACAGAGGTTAAGTGAACTTTGTGAAGTTCTTGATTCCCAGACCAGTGATCTTGGGAAAGAACCAACATGTATTAACATTCCACCCCTGATATAATTAAATGCAAAATAAAAGCAGTCGCTAGCCAAGCTAGAGAATGAACTGGCACCAAGAATTAACCACGCACACTTATGAGCATGGCCTGGAATATGTAAAATCATAGTTCCTATTTCATTTCAAGGAATGAAATAGGAATGCTAAATATAGAAGTTGAAAGATCAGGAAAGTGATATCATCTCAAAATCATGACACACGATGGAAATCAGAAAATCTGCAAAAAGAAATACAGCATCTTGGAAAGTTGAGTGGAAGGGAAGATCTGTTGGTAATAGCACAACACAGCACCGACGGAAAAGGTGGTTTAATCAGAGTACAAAAATACCTCTTCCTAGATGAAAGTGTATGTCAAAAAGCGGCAAAGGTTTTCTAAATAGCTCATCATTCTGAGCCCTTGTTTATGACTCCACATTCACTATGCAATTCAGACATTCATTTGGTTTCACGGACAGGTTTCCACTGTAAGTTTCTGATAACCCTTCCCATTCATAAGCTCCCAGGATCCTGCCGGAGGTCTGCTTTCTGGTTTCCGAGGGAGAGGGCTTGCTGTGGATTGAGGAACTGCCATTCTGTCTCAGGTCAGTCAAACCTGAGGGGTGGGCATTCACGTTCAGCTGAAAAGGAGAACTGATGTCCAGACCCAGGGGCAGAAACGAGCACTCCAAAGCAGATCATCTGTTAAATTTTCCCCAGTTATTGTGGACAAAATTACCCTAAACCTATATTGTGATCTTAGAGTATACTGAAAGCACAGATCATTTCCCTTGGCTTTGGACATTCTGCCAGAAAAGTAGAAATGAGTACTCCAGTAAAGAGAAGAGAAAGGATGGCTGTCAAGTGTATGGACCACAGGAAAGTGCAAACATACACATATTAACAAACATACACATATGATGCGTCTGGGGACAACAGGTGTTTGATGGTCAGATGGCTGTGTCTTCTCCCCAGCTTTCCTCTTTCCTCCCTGTATATGTCAGAAAACTCACACATGTGCCATGACCTAAGAAATTTCATGGATTATTAAACTAAATGCTCCAGACTCAGAATGCCTACCCACACAGGAGGAAGGGATGAGTTTGAATTTATGTAAAATTGGTATTTGGTTGTTATACACAAGTGTGGGTGTAGTGAGGCAAAGAGGTATTTAGCTATTTTCACAGCACCCCGGAGCATCTGTATACTGTGAAAAGTTCCCTAAAGGAATTCTGATGGCTCCTTTACCTAGGAGAGAATCCTAGAATATCAGGTTCTGACTTTGTGTAGAAACAATAAACTCCAATCAATAGGTAAGGTGGCATCTATCATGTAATATTCTATTTAAGACAGGCAAGTTTGTTTTATAATATTAACCAACACTTATTGACTGAATTTGAGGTGACATCACTGTGAACCTCAGTTTCCTCATCTGTCAAATGGTTGCAATACATATTACAGGATTTTGTAAGTATTAAATGAGAATGTATGCAGAAGAACTAAAATGGTACTGCTTAATAAATGGTGGGGGAAAATATTATCCTTAACTTCCCCAGTGATTAAAAAAAAACTACATAACATCAACAGGAATTTTTGTAGGTTAAAATAGCAGAGAGTGGGAATAAAACTGAGTTCCCAGGATAATAATATTCTTTACCCTCTTATACATTTAACTATTAGCATCCAACTATTCCATCAGACAGGTTTTATTGCTCTGTGTGTCATGCTTGGAATAACAAAGCTTAAAATCTCTCAATGACTTCCTTTACTCTCACATGGGAAGGGGGGTGTTGGAATGCTGGGTGGAGTTACATAAAGTCATCATCCACTGACTAAAAGAAAATCATCCTTGTATATAAAAACAACAACAAAATTAATGACATCCTGCAGGTACACGAGCATCTTTTGTTTCAAAGTTTTACCTCTAAGATACATATAGCACAGAAGTCTTCCCCCACCAACTGTGGAACTGAAGTCTGGAACACAGGCTGAAATCCAAGAAGACCACCAGTTAAAATCACGCAAAGGATTTGCTGATCATCTGACTCACTTCATATGAAGAAAACACCTCTCTAAGGAAAATGGTTAAAAGAATTTTGAAGACACATGCTCCAAACTCCATTGTCTTTTAAAATATAATCTGAGAAAACAAGATAATACAATTTTTATTTATCTTCAATGTAACTTCTTTAGTTTCTCTGCCACCATGAAGGATTTTTAGTGCCAATTTCTATCTCGTAGAAAGTGTACCCAAGAAAAGAAAGAGCAATAACTACAGGCTTCATTTTATGAGGATATGCCTTGATGCCAAATGGAACAAGAAGAGTACATAAATATAATTTTGTAGGATGGACCAGTCAGGGTCTCATTGGGAAAAACTGAAATCATTGTAAATGCTTAAAGCACAGGGAATTTAATATTGATCATTGGTAACACAGGTGATTAAAAAAAAATTTTTTTAAGAAAGGACAAAGGAACCATGAAGTCATTGAGAGATAAGCAAGAATGGGGAAGCCAAAATCAGCTCTAGGGCAAAAGGTACAAAGAAAAGAAAGTTGTTTTTTTCACCAGAGCCCAGAATTAGGGGCCACCCAGGAGAGGCAGCAACTACAGTGAGTTGTCCAGTAAAATCTGGGAGCCACAGAGAGGGGAATATCTGGTAAGAGATGAAAGCAGAGAGGAGATGCAGTCACCCCTAGACACTCAGTCTGGCCAGAGAGATTCAAGTCATCATACTCTTGCTTTATTCCTTTCTGCTATTCTTCAGTCTACAATCGGTGCTTCTCATTGGCCATACGCTCAGAAGCCAGAGGTCACTGAAGAATGGGAAGCATTTCCTGCAACATACGGAGCAAAAGCAGAAGGAACAGATCAGACAGCAATCAGGTGAAAAACTGAAGTTCATTTCTGAACATGGACACAAAAATCCTCAACAGGATAAGTGTAATTAATCTAGCAGTATATTTTAAAACATCATAATCAAGTAACTTGATTAAGGAGTGCTACAATTATTCAACATCATAAATTCAATTTAATAGAAACATTAAGACAGTAAAAGTGAAAAATCATAAATGCAGAATAATCATTTGATAAAGTTCCTAACAATCTAAGACTAGGAAGCATGTGCTTTATCTGATAAAAAGCACCAACTAAATACCTACAATAAATATAGTTAATGGTCTAATTTTCAAAGGATTTCCAATAAATCAGAAACACTAAATGGATGCCTTCTACTTCCCATTACTTCAGCATTATAATGGAGAAGCTAATCACTTTTTTAAAAAAATAAAGAAGTATATGATTAGAAAAGGAAGAGAAAAGGTGTTACTATCTTCAGATATCTTGATTATCTTTATAGTAAAACCTAAAGATTCCACAGATGAAACTACCATAACTAGTAAGGAAGCTTAACATATTTATAGAATACAAGATAAATATCAAAATTGATTAACATTCCTGTACACTAGCAATAACTAATTAGAAAACAGAATTGTAGAAGGGGATATTTATATTAGCCAGGTAATACCTGGGAATATGTTAACAAAATTATAGAAAAAATTATATAGACAATTTAAAAAGTTGTCATAAAATGATGCTTTAATAAATGCTTGGGTATACAATTTTCATGGAAGAAAAAACTCAACAAGGTGTCAATTCTCCACTAAACTCAATGTGATTTCAAAAAAATTCTAATATAATCCTTGATGGAATTAATAAAAGGACTCTAAAATTTACATGAAGATATAAATGAACAAGAAAACTGAAGGTCATTTGAAAGATGGCCAGAACTAGCCCTATGAAATACCAAAGCTTACTATGCATTAGTAATTAAGCCTGCGTGGGATTGGCACAGTGACAGTCAAGTAGATCAGCGGGTCCTCAAATAAGAGCACACTGTCATAAATATGGAAGAAATGACAAAATTGGGAAAAAAGAATGGACTATTCAGTAAACGTTGCTGGTACAACTGGTTTCCCATATGGAAGGAAATATGATTATATTCCTCCTTCCCGTCATGCATGAAATTAAACTCCAGATGGATTTACAAAAAATGAAAAAGTAAAATTTAAGTTGTTAAGAGAAACTATAGGATGAGATCTTACATTGTCACAACATGAGCATAAGGGATTTTCCCAGCTCATTTCATCCAGGTCTGTGCTCAAATG